AACGGCCGACAATTCTACCACGTAAAAAATCATCCAAATGCGTCCTTTGTGTCATAACTATTCGGTTATTGCACTGAAATGCTTATAAAGCGCCTGCGAACAATTTTACTTCTTTGCCTGTATTCCTTATATATCACTCTCTTACACTCTCGTCATTGTGACGTACCATCGGTGTCATCTGGTTACTTCCTGAAATTTGCATATTATTCTTGCAGATGTATGTAGTGATTTTACATGTGATATATTTATGTTAGAGTTCGATTTCTGCGTGACTCCGAATTATTCTTAATTTATGGACATGAGTGTAATATTATAATAGTACATTTATAAATATATATATTTCATTTAATAATGAGAAACAGACCTTTATTTTTTAAATAGTTATCTGTTAGTATAGTGTAAAATGGTGCTTTATTTGTGTTATACGAATTATAATAGATTTTTCAAATAAATACATATTAATTATACTTTCATATTTTAGCTATTTCTGTTTTTTTATTTTATTTTTTTTTTTATATATTTTGTAATTTTTAGTACTGTATTGATTTCAAACGAGTTTTATGTTCATTAAACTTCTTTTGAAACCTGTTATTATTTGAATCCGAAATCCTTTATTTATTGCCTCAATAAACCACTAGGGAATCATTGTGACTGAAATTATCCGTTTTTAAAACCATCAAAAGATTTGCGTTCTTTAATTCTGGCCCACTAGCGGCCCAGCGGTAAAGAAGCTGAACACTGGTAGTTCGAACTGGTTCCGAGGTTCGAACCCCGCGAACGGGCTGGCTGCACGGGCGTTTTCGTGGTTTTCCCCATCCTCCACGAATGCATCCCTCCCTTTAGGCAGATAGCCCTCGTGTGCTTTGCCATAACTGAATAATCCCAATCCTAATAATCCCGTTTTTTAATTCCATAATAAGTATTAAACAGAATAAAAAAGATAATTAAAAATTTGTGCATCGAATGCATTTAGCCAGTCTTCTTAAAATCTATTGGAACTCTGCTATAATTGCTAAATCTTTGTACTGTCATCTAATTTTCCTAAAAAGGTCTAAAAATTCTTTAGGTTTTATTTTCATATAAGTGAGTTTTATGTAATTTCTTTAGCGCTTCACCTTAACAGTATCATTGGCTCGATATAATGACAAGGCAGTATTTAGCATTGTTGTAATTTGGTCTGTTTATTACTTTTAACAAATTCTGAAATTAAATTTAGGAATTCGCCATTATTTTTTTATATTCAAGAAAAAATGAATCAAAGTAAATCTACATTGTGAAGAGTTAATGCCGAAAAAATTAGTGTTGTTGGTTAAGGAATTGAAAATTAAATAGCAGTCTTTTCGAAGAGCATTCGTTTCCTAAATAATAAAACTGCAAATTATGCAAATGAAATTCTCTGACGTGTACAGACATTTACAACTTACTGACATAGAGAATTTTTGAAACAATATTAGAAAAAAGGAATTTGTATACCTTTTTATTAATCAAGAAATTAATTGTTTTCATTAATTTTCAATCGACTGTACCTGTACGAAAATTTATGTAGTGTTTTCCTACCATGTAAAACATTTATTAGCCCAAAAAGTCAGTTTGTCAAGAAGGGCTATTAATTTCGTTTTGGCATTTTGAGTTGGTTCACTATAAATGGCATAACACTTTTCAAATTGTTACCACCAAATATTAGAGCCCTGCATTATATTTAAAGAAATTAAGTAATGAAGAATCTACATGAATGTATGTATGCTTCTCGCGCTATGAAAAAAAGAATGGTACCTAGAGACATCAAATTTTGAATAACGTAGTCCTTCACTCGAGTATGGGCATCTGGAAGCCCAAATCTGGAATACGGAATTTGTTTTATTATTTATTTCATATTTTAAAACCTTATTTTGTAAAACGTTAAAGAATTTTTGATTAAAAAACTCAACGATTTCAAAACGAGCAATGGCAACACTGTACCGCCCCCCGAAAAAAAGGATTTTTATCTCCAGCGCACGAGACAATTGCGAAGAACATGATATTTAATAAATAAAGATAACACACAAAATGTTAAAAAAAAAATTGTTTTAAAGTTTCCTTCGTTTTGTTAAAATATTTGTGCACTATTTTTCATTGTTATTTATTATCGAAACTTAAGATTTTTCTATGATAAAGTAAAGACGGTAACACCTCTATAACTATTATTTTTACCGATATTATCAACAAACAATGCATTAGACATTTTTTAAATGAAAGAAGGTTTTTTTTATTTTAAATAATTAATGCCTGTATTAAGTACCTAAATCGTTATTTGAAGTTACTGAAAATTAAATTCTAAAACAAAGTACTAAATATCAGTTATTTAAGATGAAAGAAATTTTGTATACTTTTCGTTCAGGTAATGTTAATTATTTTATTAAATTATGTCTCACAAAATCCTTTTTACATCCCTATGGAAACTTAAGTGAAGATATCTTCTTTGCTGCGGATTTAAAAATTTGTAATGCATACAGATATGAATCATTGACGTACTTTTTTCGTTACCATTTTATAAATAACGATGAAACATATAAGTACGTTTTATTTATATTTAAAATGAATTCATGTTATATATTTATTTCTTATAACCGTTATAAATGTTTGGTATTGATTCAGTTATGAGATAAACTTAACAACAATACTTTATTAGCCCAAAGGGCGTTAGCCCAGAAGAGCTATTAATTTCTTTTTGGCATTTTGCTTTGGTTCACAATAAATGTCGGTTCACTTTTCAAATTGTTGCCCAAAACTGTAAAAAACGCCCTTTTTGATGAAATTTTGAAGATAAATAAAAAGGATTATGTATGTACAATTTATTGTTATAAAACTCTAGGCTATGCAATAAAATTCAGCACGTAACTTTGATAATTATAATATTTTTGATAGTAAAGCGTGCTCAGTTTAAAAGTCTGTAACTTATTTTGACAAAATATTTCAAGATAAAGAGACGCCTCTCAAAGAATGTTAAAATGCACTGTGCTGCTCAAATTCTTTCAATAAGCTTTCTTCAGAAACAGGATATTCCTCATATATATTTATTTATGTTGAATCGAACAATCTGGAAAGCTATAGATGCAGATATACCCTCTCTTTCTTTGTACCTTGTTTACCAATGCTCTGGAATTCGTAATTCAGAGTTCGAGTATAGACAAATATTTCCATGCAGTACTTTGTCAGAGAAGCAGGGTTACGAATAAAATCTTGCAACCTATGGAAACAGTATTTTCATCTGTGAATTATGGTACGTAAACGTAAAGTATATAAGAGGTGCTTCATGTTTATAGCTTTTTAATTAAAATAATAACATAGAATAAAAGAAAGGACATAAGTTATATTATTTAGAACAGGGGTTCTAGACCAGGGGGAATTTTCCCCTGGAAGGAGGAATTTCATAGCTTCAGGGAAAGAATCAGTTCAGCCTTCTGTTTAGTTTTAAAGTATGACTACACAAAAGCTAGTTTTAGTCAAATTTTGGAATTTATCACCGTTTTCAGTAGCTTTTGCTGTTTAATTTACTAAACACGCTAAAAAATAATCTAAATAAAAATAAATACGCGTATATATTTTTTTAAGTTTATGAAAGGAGAGAAATGATCTTTTAGTAATGATTTAAAAGGTTCTTGGGGCGAATTAGATTGAAAATCACCGAGTTAGAATAATTTTACATCATCATCTGCGTATAGACTCAAAAACTGGTTATGACTCATGCCCTATGCTTGCTTCCAAAAAGTAGTCCAATAATTTTCCTTAATTCATATAATAAACTTATAGGAAGGTTCTAATAACATTTCTTCTTCTTCTTCTTCTTGAAGCTTGGCTTCCCTTTGGCGCCTTACGCTCCAACTCAAAATAGCGTTATTTACAAGTTAAGCCACAAGGACGCATTCCCTCCAATAATAACATTTCAGTGCTTCGAATTCTTGTTGAAAATGATTTTTTTATCGATGAAATTGATATTTATTTTATAATATGAAACTGGCTGTGTTTTTAATGTTAAACGTGTTTTATCTAAAACAACACGATAAGAAGTGTTTAACCTTTATACATCTGTTCATCTATTATAAGAAATTGCCCTGAAAATGATGTACGAAATCACATGGAAATAGTATTCCTCTCGTTTAGGTATTGTTAATTACTTCATTAAAATTATACACTTATGCATACACATTACTTTTATACGACTGTTCTTCTGTTATTAAAAATATCCTGAAAACGAAGTGTGCAATCGCATAGAAGCAGTATTCTTCTCCTTTAGGTAATGCTAATTACTTCAGGAGCCCAAAGGGGCAATTTCCCAGAAGGACTATTAATATCGCTTTGGCATTAATCGCGTTTCACTTTTGAAATTGTTGCCGCCAAGTATTAGAGCCCTGCGTTATAGTTAAAGAAGTTAAATAATGGAGGATCTGCATCACTCTATGTATGTTTCTCGCAAATTGAGAAAACAGCGGCACCTAGAGGCATCAAACTTTAAATAACGTAGTCCTCCTCTTAAATGACATCTGGAAGAACAAATTTGGAATCTGGAATTTGTTTTACTATCTATTTCATATTTTGTAAAACTTTAACGAATGTTTTATTAATAACCTCAACGATTTCAAAGCGAGCAATGGCAACATTGTATGGAAAAAAAAAATTATCTTCAGCGCGCGAGACTGTCTATCGGAAATTCTAAAGATATGCTCTTTTTAAATTATTTTGTGATATTGCTACTGAATTGAATTTTAAGTGCAAAAAAATATGATATTTAATAAATAAAGGTAACCCACAAAACGTTAAAAAAACGTCCATTTGAACGTAATATAAAAATCTGAAAGTGTTCAGTTTTTTTTTAATTTATGCAATTATGTATGCTCATTACTTTTATACGACTGTTCACCTGTGATTAAATAATTACCCTGAAAATTAAGTGTGCAACTGCATAAAAGTAATATCCCTCTATTAGCCTTAGAATTGAACAAATCGTCTCACAAGTGTGCATATCTAATATTTATTTAATGCAACGATGAAACATTTCATAACAGGGGTACAAGTGAAATTTCATAACAGGGATACATGTAAAGTACTTTCTGATTCTATTAATAAAATTCCTTAAACTAGAAGCAGCAATTTATTCTTTAGTATTTTTTCTTAGAACTGCCTTAATTTACAACAGCATTTTAAATTTATCTGTAATTAAACATAATATAAAAATAAAACAATAAAGTTCATCAAAATACTTGCATTAGAAAATATGTGTAACATTGTACAAAACTATTTTTTCTGGCAAACTATTTTTTTCTGGTAGATGATGTTATCACTGATTTGCATGGCAAAAAATGTTCTTTAAAATGTTTTTATTTGAGAAATCAGGATATTTCGAAGAAGAGACTTAATACGCTAATGCAGATTATCGCATTATTATGTCATATTATTTTGGTTCTTTTTAGAAATTAAGCATGCCATTGCTGTGCAGAGAGAGTGCGCATGCAAGAGAAAATGATTGCGTGGGCATCTGATAGCTTTTTTCATACCGGTTCATCAGCAACATGTGGTAGAATCTTTCATATCCAAATCTACTGTAACACACAAATATCCGAAATCCTAATGATTTCAAGTTGACTCTGCTGCAGATGTTTAACTGACACATTTCATCATCTTCTTTTTACTGTAGATATTCAACAGTTAATTCTCCTTGGCTTATTTTAATCAAATCTGAACAACTTAAAGGATATTTATGAGGCCATCATTAATAAGACTTCGACAGACGTGTAGACTTTTTTTGAGTTTCATATGTTTAACAGGACGTATCTTCACCAACTTTGTTTACACAGCAGAGGAACAACTGCGCTTTCTAATAAAAAGCATTTTATTTCCAGCATTTCAAGAGAATCTTTTCCAATTTGTTTCCAGTTTTACTCTCTGTGAAGTATCTCTTTTTCACCTGTAAAAAAAAGGAAACATAGATAAATAAGTATTTTATGAAATTTGTGGAGCTTTACATATATCGATCTATATTATACCGCTTTTCAGTTGCTGGGTAAAATCTAAGAATTCTAGAAATCAAGTGAAAAGCAACATTGAATCTGTATATATATCTGTATATCCATGTTGATGAAGTACCAGTTTTAAATACGAGAAATAATCTTGTTTCATTTATATAATACGCTGTCGAATTAAACACATTAAAATATCAGAAAAGGGAAAAGTTTATTCTTTCTGTTAGTTTAATAAGTTTCCCTTTTATAAAAACAAACGAAAGACTGGTTTTCAAAGAAATAATATTTCGGATGGTGTATGAGGACATAGATACATGTTTCAAGATTTTATCAAAAATATTCAAAGAAAATTAAAAAATGAAAATTAATTTCTAAAACCAAAAAAATGAATAAAAAGTTGTCAAGTAGTTCATTAGAATGATAATACATAACAGAAAGACTTAAAGGAAAAATTTCAAGCGCTTGCGTCAATACGCGACGGACTACTCGAGCATTCTACTCGATACGTATAAGTATTTTGCTCGTAAATTTATAAACATCACGAAAATTTAAATTATATCTAGCAATATACCCATGGAGATTCAAATCACAACATAGATTTCAAGTATTTTGACACCAAATTATGTCTGTAATTTTTAATATTTAATAATACTTTATCACTTATACATGTCCTAATATAAATTCCAAAAATGCATATCGCTTTGCCTTGAAGATGGATTTTGCAATAAGTGTGAACTTTTTCCTAATTGAGTCGGTCAATCCTAAAGCCAATCATTTTCAACAAAATTCCTTTTAAAGAAGGCCGAGATTTCTGAAATTAATCCAGCTACTTAACGTAAGAATTAATTGAAAAATTTTTTAAAAAATTACATTTTTCTAAAGAATTTTTGGCGTCTTTTTCGTAGTTTCGTTTGGTTTATTTGATTCCGGCAAAGCACACCGGGGCTGTTCTACCTAAGGAAAGGAATGCTTTTGTGGAGGATTTTATTAGGAAAACTAGCTGGTATATACGTTACACACGGAGAAAACAACGAAAACGCCCACGCAACCAGCCCGTCCACCTGGAATCGAATGCATGCTTCCAGTGTTCGGTGACTTAACCGCTCAGCCGCTGGTGAGACCCCTTTTTTTTGTGTGTATATGTTACGTGAAACGCCGAAATCTGGATGTACGAATGGTGAATGTTGAACATATAAGAATATTATATTTTCTTCCCCGTAATTCATTCGCGAAAAGACGCACTTGAGTCTTAAAATAAGAACTTAAGAAAATAAAAACTTAAAACCCACAGTACATTCAAAACGAGAAAGTAAAAAACTAGAAGTTAAAAACTTACTAAATTATGGGATTCAAATCTTATTTATTGCAACAACTTAAACTATCATGACACTTTGAATTGCACAAGAGGCCCTTGCTTTTACAGCTGCATTTATTTGTGGAAGACTTCCGTTTGCAATGACCAAGCGTGTACGTATACTCCTCTCTTTCCGACCTACACCAGAGCATATCTGTGATTGTCAAAATGCACTGGTGAGGGTCCGAATGTACAAGAATGTAATGCAATATTCGATCTTTCATCAACGTATCTTTCATCAAAGTGGACATTCTTCAATATCGGTCTTTCACGGTAACAAATACGTAAAACGGGAATGGTTCATTTCTATTACCGCCCCATTTTAGACAAAAGTTTCAGTTTCAAACTATTTACCTTACCGATCATGGCCCATACCCACGCTAAAATCATGAAAATACACAAAAGCCGAATGCTCTAGGACTGGACCTATACCACGTCACGCTTTAAGACCGAAAACAAAAGAGCCATGACTATTCTGTACCCCAATAATTGATTCCGAACAACATCAGCAATTTCCATAATGATTCAAAATTCAAACTTACTGAGCTGAGCTCATGAACTATATTTATTAAATCTTTACCTTAGGCTGAAAGATTTGAGCTAAGTGCAGTCTTAACTGTAACAAATATCCTTACATAACAAGAATCAGTCATTCCAGTTTATTAGCAAAATCTTATCCCATATATTTATCTACTTACTAAAAATGCAAAAATTTCACTATAACGGTCTCCAAAATAGCAACTGTATTGTATTTACGTAATCTAATATTGTAATGAGTATACTGAACAGTTTGGGTTACGTTATGTAACTTTGCCTAATTTTATGTTATTACACTTTTATGTTTAAATGTAACAACTTCGATATATAAATCCAGTGTTCCTTAGCAGAAAAGCATACAGTCAATTCTAGTCTTTCATACTCTAGCCAGTTAGCACACTGGAGCAATACCTGTTCAATTCTGTAGTGAAGCCTCTGGTGCTCCATGTACTTTAACCTGTTTAATCAAGATCTCACAGATAAAATTTGAAAATACGAAATGAAAATTGATAGCATTTCGAATAAAATCAATGATGTTTGCAAACCTTCTACTGAAATATATAAAATTATAAAAAAATTCATGTTGTTTCAGTTTCTGAAATCAGTTTTTGGACGGTTATGAATCAGAGTTTTAGGTAATTAACGAAGGCGCCTTCACAATAAAATGGACAAAAAAGTGCCACCGATGGATAAAAAAAAATATTTCTGATTTTAGTCGTTCAGCAGATTTCAAGGAATTTTTTAATAACGCAAAATTTTAAACAATGTAAATAAATTGTAAATTTAGGTGTACTTGAAAATTATATTTTTGGTATCATACATTTGGGAAAAAATATAAAGTTGTAAGGATTATGTTAATTTTATTAACAGTTAATTTTAAGTTAAAGTTCCTTTCCTGTCAAATTCTTAACTTCAACTTACTACTTCCGGCCAGAACGTACTTTTGAATCTTGCTGAATATTTAATGAGAAGGAGCGGTATTTAAACCACGAAGTTACTTACTGAGTCAGAGAGAATCAGAGTTTCTGATTTACGCGTGTCTGCCTTTTTGGCCGCTCTCTCTCTCAAAGCTGTTATTACGCTCGGCCGTACTCAGGCCCTTGCTAAGCTTCGTAGTAAAATAAGTTAAGGGGCCAATTCAAATTGAACCTTGATAGCTTCGGCTATACTTCTTTAGTTAATTTTAGTTTTAGTTTAATTCTTAGTCTTTTTAGTTCAAGTCCAAGTGCGGGCTTTGCTTGTACACTCCCAGGCGGAGTTTGTTAATTCTTATTAGAATAATAAAGGTTTAGTTACCCTTCTATCTTGTTGTTTCTTGTCACCAAACGCAAGCGATTATTCGCTTATCAGTTCTTAGATTCCTCACTTCCAACATTAACTTAGAATTCCAAAGTGAGGTACTCTACAAAGTTCAACGTTTATCTTATTTATTTTTAGAAACTATGTATTTACGTCTAATGAATAAATCAATAAAAAAGTGATTTTGAAACAGCCGGGAGTGGCTGATGTTTGGACCCACTGTTCTAATTAATTTTATTACAAAGTTCCTCCGTAGTTTAGCATCACATGCTACTTAAGATCGTGTTTATTATAATTATCAAAATGTAGATTTGTATCTAAGAGTAATCATTATAATACCTACCGAGTATAATTAAACTTCCAAAACTACAATAGTGTCGCATTTTCAATGGATGATAGAATGTGGGGGTTTAATTTTTATTCACTTTGCTGAAATTATTTAGCTTATTTTGGATACTGAACAATAACTTGCAAAAACGCAGTCTGAAAACGTACAAAGGGTTCAGAAACATTACCAAAGACTAAAGAGATCACTCTAGATACTTAACACGAGAGCGTAATTAGCACTTACTTAATTTGTCTTTGTGTCTAGATAAAAGTTACTGAATAATCTAGTCAACAGCTAACAGCTTATGCTTCTTTTGATGCCAGATCATCATTGTGAGAACATCATCATCAAAGCTCATAAACGCTGCTTCTGAGTTTGCCTTATCGTAGCTTTGGAACAGGAAAGTATTCACAATGTTTGTTTCTAAGTTGGAGTACGGCTTTAGGAACAACAATGTCTGGGCTAATCTACTGTCTCTTTTAAGTTCCAGATTTGCAACTCTTCCAGTGATTGCTTACATCATCTTCTTCTCTCTCTGACTATTGATTTTTCAGTTTGATCTGGTGCAGGACTTTGATAGGGATATCTATAAGCCTCTTGAAACATCCGTATTGCGAAATCAAATATATTCTCCTGTTTTTACTAAAGCTTTATTTTAGGGAGCAACTTTTTTATAACTTTGGTAAATCGTACTACATCTTCCACTTTGTTAAGTTAAAACAGATTCGTCTAAGAACTGTTTTTTAAGTAGAAGATCGTTAGAAATATAAAAATTTTAATTTAGAATCTTTTTTAAATAGGCCTTACTTTACATGTATCAATAGCATCATATACCTAAAGGAATTATCTTATATTTCAATTCTTTTGAATATTTCTTAATAAATTTTTGTTATTCTGAAGACATCTAGAAATAGTCTTACAAGACATACATTTTGCGTAGCTCGAAACAACGTTTTTTCAAGCCAAGAATTTGAACAGTTTAATGCACTTGCATTTGGTATAATATATATGTTGTAGAATAAACTATATGCTATATATGATCATGTATGGTAAATGTGATAAATATGTATCTGAAATACGTGGCATATGTGTAATTAATACTAATAATATTAATATTCCCATAATATTATGTTGCAGATAAATCCCGAACATAAAAACTGCATTATTTTATATTGTACAATGTTTATATACCTTATATGCAAAAATGCGGAATACCTTATGAAAAGACAAAACAGAAACATATGGTTATGAGCATCAAACAGAAGCTTGAAACTTTGAGGTATATGGGAATTAATCTGGTTAAAAATGCTCTTATAATAATATGGGGTTGGCAATACGTTCTGTAGTGTGAAGTAAAACTCATTTTTTTTCTATACAAAAAATTAGCTTTAATTAGCCAAATAGTAGTTCCCATTACATTCGATGAT